TGTTGTGGGGTTGTTAACCAATGTCATAAAACAATGTGTACTACTGTTTCATGAGAAACTATTTGTTCTGTAAGCCTTCACCTGAAGTACAACAAAAAAAATAGGGTTCCAGGTGGTAGAAAAAACTATGGCATTCACTCATTGCCTTGACAGTTCACTCACTGTCAAGCTCAAGTATATTTTGTGATATTTTCACTGGGTTTAAATATTTTAAAACATTATCTCCAGGTTCATGGGATGAAGCTGGAGGGAAAATAAAGTTATACATTTAACTTTTCATTTTGAGAAATGGAGGTCAATTGAAATATGATCATGGTTCGACAGTAATATTAGCATATTTAAAATATTTTCAGGTAAAATTGAGAGTCACACAAAGATAAACTCAACAAGGTATCTTAGTGGATTTCTAAAAGAGATTAAGAAGTGACAAATAGAGACATGGTGTCCGGAATAAATTTTAGAATTGTTTCTGGGTTGATTATTCTGTATTATGCAATTATATCAACTATCCATGTTCGCAAGAAAAAGGATTCAGGATGGATTCTCCTGTTCCTGTTGTAAATATGAAAGAGCCAACTTAGAGCAGTAGGGGATTAGCCATTTTTAAGTGGGAATCATAGTCCAATTTGCTTATGAGTTTTGTTGCTTAAGAAATTTCCAAGGGAGTAAAATGGGCATGTTAAAAAAAAGATTGTCCTCAATAAGCGAAAATATTGTAACATACATCTTCCTGTAATAACAGCATAAAGTTGATGTAATTATTAAAGATTAAAAATGTGAAAAACAATGACCTAATAAATGTATACTCAAATCTGTCATAAAATATGAATATGAATTTTAGCTTACATGAACACTGAAAATGTTTAACACATTATAACACAAAGAAAAAATCAAAATATAATATTTTATAATCCATCAAATCATGGTCAAAATCCATCAAGCAATATTTTAAAACTATACAATTTGATAATAATTGCTCAGGAATAGCTCTGGTCTATTCGCTGACCATGACATTTTTAAATTAAGTGCAGAAAGTTTACTTCATCCAGAATGCCTCTTCCATTCACAATGCTGTTGATCTGGCCCAAGGAAGTATAATAACTCTTTTTTCTAATAGTATATGGTTCTCAGTGCTGTCCAGTAATTTCTCTAAATCATGGTGTCTGGATTCCACTTCTACGATCCTTAGAAACCCACAGCATGTCCCAATCTACCATCTCATGGCTTTCAACATTAGTTCATCACACCATATCATATGTTGTTACCCTGACATCATGGAACAGATAAAGGGACACCTCCACATTTCAAGTCTTCCCTGTATGTTGTCTTTCCTGCATTTCTAAGGATACTATCACTGTGTTTTCTCATTTGCCACATCTTACTCAGCCATAAGAGAAATGAAATCCTGATGCATGCTACATGGAAGAACACTGAAAACACCATGTTGAAATAAGTCAAATGATCTCACTTATATGAAATAAGCAAATATATAGAAACCAAAATATTGTTACCAGGGGAGGGAGGGGGAAAGGGGGACTGTTTGGGGGCATTGAGTTTATGTTAATGATCGTGGAATATTTTGGAAAAGGATAGGAGTAATAGTGGCACAACATGAAAATGTAATCAATGTTATTAAGTTGTAAATGTGGAAGTTGTGTTGGCAAATGTCTTGTGTATATTTTCACGATAAAAAAGGGTCATGTAGGTATATAATTTTATGGTCACATTCATGACTAGTGATGTAGATGTTAGGAGGGCAGAATCTGAAACTGCAAAATTTTATTATAGCCACATAAATATCCAAGGGACAGAGTGTGGAGACAACTCAGGTGCAAATTATTAGTATATAGTCCCAAAATTGTATACTGTTTTATCCTACCATGGAAAGAAATTATAGATGCCATTCAACCTTGAGAGCCTAAAGTGTACTGTTAGTGTGTTATGAAGTACCTCAGTGATGTGGGATAGACTTGATAGAAGAAAAACCATTCAGGCTAATTAAAAATGATTAAATTTTATTAATTAAAACATGACTACTAATACGTTCTAAATAAAATGGTAGCAAAATGCATATCAGTGGTTATGTGAATCCCACATATGTACTGCATTCTGATTCTTTTGATTCATCTCTCCTCCCTGATAACTGCTTTATTCAGTTACCAAGAGTACGATGATTTTTTCATTAATCTTTGATACACAACATCTATTTCTTTTCAAACGAGTGACCATTTCCCTTCTATTACTCCACCATATAAGCAGTCCCTGGTAGCTTATGATACTGCTGCAATGAAAAGTTCAATCTCTCAATGTTCTGGCCCGTTCTTTGTGTTTCATGGTCAGCTGGCAGAGCACTCCTTTCTGATAGTCCACAGTGGCCCCCCATCGTACCAACAAACTTGTAGAAAGGGACCCTGAACATATTAAATATGATGATTAAGTTTATAGTTTCATATCTGTTCTCTTCCCCTTTCCACAGTCTCATTCTCATTTATACAGTATTATATTTTAAAATTCAAAGTCCTTAATGTGAATGAACCCTACCTAATAAAGTAGGCGCTTTCATCTTACTGATCCCTTTCAGGGGAACATCATGATGGCACATCAAATGTCTGTGATGAAGGCATAAAATTAACACATTTCACACCTCCCAATGATTGACATTAATAATGTAGCTTTTTAAAGAAACCTCAAATATCAGAATAAAAATATTTTATAGACTGAATATAATTGGACCTTTCTACAGACATCCTTGTTCCTTTGACACTCAACATGTCATGCCTTTTAAATGATTTTGACTTGTAGTTACTCTGTAGAATTTAATATCTGAGATTGATTAATCTTTGAGAAGGACTAGAGATTTAATTTCCTCTAGAATGAATTCTCTGATGTTTGGTCCATTGTGAAAACTGGTTAAACGATTTACCACACTGAATACATTTGTGAGGTTTCTCTCCAGTATGAATTCTTTGGTGAATCTTGAAGTCAGACCGTTGCCTAAAGGCCTTGCTACATACAACACATTTGTAGGGTTTCTCTCCACTGTGAATTCTTTCATGATCCCACAGGTGTGAAAGTTTGATAAATGCCCTACCACATATATTACATTTGTGTGGCTTCTCTCCAGGATGTATATTCTGATGTCTAGTGAGGCTTGAGTACTGCTTAAATGCTTTGCCACATTCTTTACATTTGTAAGGTTTCTCCCCAGTATGAATTCTCTGATGAACGGTGAGGCTTGAATTTTGACTAAAGGCCTTGTCACATATATTACATTTATATGGTTTCTCTCCAGAATGGATTCTCTTATGCTGAGTAAGATTTGAACTCCCAGTAAAAGCTTTATCACATTCGTCACATTTGTAAGGCTTCTCTCCAGTATGAATTCTCTCATGACCCCAAAGGTGTGAACGTGTGGGAAAATCCTTACCACATTCATTACATTTGTAAGGTTTCTCACCAGTATGGATTCTCTTATGTTGAGTAAGGTTTGAATGCTCAGTAAAGGCTTTTCCACAGTCATTACATTTGAAAGGCTTTTCTCCAGTATGAATTCTCTCATGACCCCAAAGGTGTGAACGTATGGTAAAATCCTTGCCACATACATTACATTTATATGGTTTCTCTCCAGTATGGATTCTCTGATGCCTCCTGAGGTTTGAGAGCCGGTTAAAGGCTTTGCCACAGTCATCGCATTTGTAAGGTTTCTCTCCTGTATGAATTCTCTCATGACCCCACAGGTATGAACGTCTGGTAAATTCCTTACCACATTCATTACATTTGTAAGGTTTCTCTCCAGTGTGAATTCTCTTGTGCTGAGTAAGATTTGAACGCTCAGTAAAGGCTTTTCCACAGTCATGACATTTGAAAGGCTTCTCTCCAGTATGAATTCTCTTATGATCCCAAGGGTGTGAATATGTGGGAGAATCCTTACCACATTCATTACTTGTGTAAGGTTTCTCACCAGTATGGATTCTCTTATGTTGAGTAAGGTTTGAATGCTCAGTAAAGGCTTTTCCATAGTCATTACATTTGAAAGGCTTTTGTCCAGTATGAATTCTTTCATGACCCCGAAGATGTGAATGTATGGTAAAATCCTTGCCATATACATTACATTCATATGGTTTCTCTCCAGTATGGATTCTCTGATGCCTCCTGAGGTTTGAAAGCCGGTTAAAGGCTTTGCCACAGTCATCACATTTGTAAGGTTTCTCTCCTGTATGAATTCTCTCATGACCCCACAAGTATGACTGTCTGGTAAATTCCTTACCACATTCATTACATTTGTAAGGTTTCTCTCTAGTGTGAATTCTCTTGTGTTGAGTAAGATTTGAATGAATGGTAAAGGTTTTGCCACACTCACTACATTTGTAAGGTCTCTGCTCAGAATGAATTTTATGATGACTGTTGAGGATTGAGCATTGGCTAAAAGCCTTCCCACATTCATTACATTTGTAAGGTTTTTCTCCAGTGTGTATTTTCTGGTGTCGTGTGAGTAATAAAAGATGCATAATAACCTTCTCATATTTACTACAAATGTTGGTTTTGTCACTAGGAGTTCTTTGAAGTAGTGAAACTGAGGAGCCATTGTTGATAGACTTCTCAACTTGATTACAACCATACATTTTATCCTCAGTTTGAAACCTCTGCATTTTTGCCAGACGTGCCTGAAAGCTTAACCCAATGTTAGTTTGAAAATGTTTCCTATATTTTCTTCCTGCATAGCCTAAGTTATATTTTAGTTTTAACAAATTCCTTATAAATAAGTTATGTTTAAAACATTGATATGCACATTTTCTTACAGAAACACACTGTTCTGGTTGTAAATCAGTCCAGGATTTGTTAAGTTGTTGCCCTCTTACACCAGTGTAATTTTTGTCATGGGTCATAGTCACTTCTTTGTAATTTCGTTCATTATGTGCCCACTGACTCTTAACTTCATACTTGTTTTCCCAGACATCATTGAAGTAAAAATACTCAATACCATAGCTTTCTTGCTTTTCCATTATCACAGGTTGATATAATTCTTCTTTATTAATATTTTTTTCTGGTGGTAATTCCTTGACCACAAATCTAGCAGAGATATCTGAAAGACACATAAAAATCACAAGATTCATATTAGAGTTTGAATGCAAATGTTTTATATTGAGAAACAATATGCTCTTTTAATGAAAAGCTATGGAACTTTTCAGCTATGGTCTTCAAAGGTTTAGGAGCACAAAGTACAGAATTCCTCAATAAAGAAAGGGTGATTACATGTAGTTAAGGGTGTTTTCCCACAGCCACCCCAAAGCACACATCAACTCACAGGAGACATCCGGGTTACGTTAATACATGTTTAATATATAATTACTGAATACAAAAAAGCAAAAGCATAGCACTATGTGATATCATAGCAATCTACAACAAACTTACCTAATAATAAAATAGGTAAATGATAACTTAGAATTATAAAACAAAAATGGCAACGGGAAAATCAGAAAATTTTAGTATTACACTGTGGGAAGAATAACAAAATATTGTTCTAAATAACTGTTACAAAACTATAACCATGAAGAATAGGCTTTCTGGCAACATGAATAATCGATGCCTTGCTGTATACTCCATAATAGATACTGAAAAATTATCACCTATAAATTGTAAAAAAAATAAAACATTTAGTAATCCATGATCAATCTAGCAGGTTAATAGTAAGTAATCACAATTATACAAAATTATGTTCTTGTTAGGTGCCGTCGAGTTGGTTCTGATTCATAGCAACCGCATGTACAACAGAAACACTGTCCAGTCCTGTACCATCCTCAAAATTGTTGCTATGTTTGCACCCACGGTTGCAGCCACTTTGTCAATCCATCTTGACATGGATACAAAATTGTAGTGTGTGGAATTCCAAACAGTTCTCTCCTAAGGACAAAAGAAAGGACTTCTGTTCCAGAAGGAGCACACAATATGAGAATTGAAAGATATCTTGAGAATCACACAATATCATAAAGGTTAACAATGGGGAAGGGTGACATCAGCAAAAATGGTGGAGTTGAGTATTCCAAATGTCTGCCTACAAAAACAGTGAATAAACTGGCAAATGATATTAGAATCAACTCTCTCAGAATTCTAGAAATTAATCAAAGGTTCACAGCAACCAAACACATGCTTAGTCAAGAAAATGGCACCTAAATCTCAATTTAAGAGCTCTGTGGAGTTTTAACTTACCCTGACACCATCTCCTAGTCCCCAGCTCAGCAGTGGCCTTGAAGATGATAGTCCCCAAACCTGATACAGGTTTATAGTACCGGAGGGGACAGAACAAACTTTATTCTCAGAGAATAATGGTTGTTTTGACCTGATGGTGGCTCCCTGAAAAACTGGATGAAAAGGCGTGCCTTTATTTTGCCTAACTCAGAAATCTACCTGATGAAGATCCTACCCAGGGACCATTTTCTGAAAACACTTAAAGAAAATGTATTAGGAACTTCCACCTGGGGTAAGAGAAAACAGCTGGGACAAACAATAGACAGATGAAAAGCCTGGGAATAAAAACTGGGGAATGAGATGCTTTTGGGAATAAGGGATTTGACAGCTCCCACATAATTCCTTGGACTCTACAAGGTCATATGTATGCCCAGGTCTGGGTTCATGGTAAGAAAAGACCTGAGAAGCCCCAAAGCTTTTATCTCTGAGTGACTGTCAGGCTCTGTGCAAGCAGGAAGTGATGAAGGCTGTGGCAGAGTTCCTGAGTATCTAAGGTGTTCCCCAACACACATGCAAAGCCAATCTGCAAAGAGTGGGAGGTTTTTTTTTTCCCTCCAGGTGTTTTAGGTAATTTCTGCAGATCAGTACCGATGACTCAGACAAGTGAACAGACTTCAGTGGCCACAAAGGACAAAGAAAAGAAACCATACAAAATTAGCTCAGAGAAGTTAATAAACCAACAACAGCAATGACAACATTCAACAATAAACCATGGCGAAGGGGTAGAATCTGATTTTCAGAGTTGCCACAATATAATATTAAAACTCCAGCTTTCAACACACAATTAACAAGGCAGGCAAAGCAATAAGAAAGTATGCACCCATACACCACAAAAATGAAATTAACAGAAATTCTACTTAAGAAAGCCCAAGCAATGGACTAGTAGACACTTTAAATAAACTATTTTAAACATGCTCTAAGAGCTAAAGGAAAATATAGACAAAGTACTAAAGGAAACTAGGAGAACAAAGTTTTGACAAATAGAAAATAACAGTAAGAACAGAAAATATATAAAGGACACAAATGTAAATTTTGGAGCTGAAAAGAACAATAGCTAAAATGAAGAACTACCAAGAGAGGTTGAATAGCAGATTTGATCAGGAAGAAGAAAGTCAGCAAATCTGTAAATAGGTTCATTGAAACTACCCCAGTCTGAGGAGCAGAAAGTAAATATAATGAAGATAAATGAACAGAGCCTAAGAGACTTGTAAGGACACCATCAAGCATACCAAAATATGAATAATGGGAGTCCAAGAATGAGAGAAGAGAAAGGGACAGAAAGAATATTAGAAGATATAATGTCTCAAAACTTGCTAAATATGATGAAACGCATGAATCTACATATGTAAGAAGCTCAGCAAATCCTATGCAGGATAAACTTGAAGAGATCAAAACCAAGACACATCCAAAAGAAAGACAATGAAACAATCTGAAAGTAGCAAGACAGAAGCAACTAGTCACATACAAGGGGTCCTCAATAATATTAACAGCTGATCTCTTCTCAAAAACCATGGAGGCTAGAAGACAGTAGGATGACATGGAAAGTGCTGAAAGAAAAAACTCAACCAAGAATTCTGTATCTGGCAAAAAATACCCTTCAAAATGGAAGGAAAAATGAAGACATTCTCAGATAAACAGAAGTTGAGAGAGTTGATCACTATTAGACATTCCCTACCAGAAATGCTAAAGGGAGTTCTGTGGTTGAGGTTGTACAGAAGTTGAAACATTTGTACACTGCTGACAGCAGTGCAAAATGGTGCAGCTGCTATGGAAAAGTTTGGTGGTTCCAAACAGACTTACATATGGCCCAGCAATACCACTCCTAGTTATATATCAAAAAGAATTGTAAGCAGTGACTCAAATAGACACATCTACACCAACGTTCATTACAGCATTATTCAAAATAGCAAAAACGTGGAAACAACCCAAGTGCTCATGAACAGATGAAAGGATAAACAAAATGTGGTATATACAGTGAAACCTGTGAGAGCTGGAACTTGATAAGACTGCCTTGTTTTTCTGGGTCTCACAAGATTTCCACCTTTGACAGGGTGAAGTTTTACCATTTTTTTATTGCTCTTGAGTAGTGGAGAAAATTCGAGTTTTCCTTCTGACAGGTTTCTGCCTTACAGAGGTTCTGGCTTTTGCAGGTTTTACTGTATATACAATGGAATATTATTCAGCTAATAGATAAATGAAGTTCTAATACATGCCATCACATGAATGAACCTTGAAAACATTATGCTAAGTGAAATAAATGAGACACAAAAAGATAAATATTGTATGAATATGCTTATATGAAATATCTAAAATCGGCAAATCCATGAAGACGAAAGAAGATCGGTGGTGACGAGGTGCAGGGGAAATGCAGAATTAAAAAAAAAAAGATCCTCATTAAATGACAAGTCAATGAAATTAAAATGTCTTCCTTGAAACTTTATCCATCTGCTTGGTAAAGATAAATTAACCAGGATGCAGTGTTTCCTCAGTGTTATTTAATCAGTGATTCTCAGGCTTTCTCATGCATCAGAGTCACCTGGATGGCTTAATAGGGCAGAGATTTTTGGGTGCCAGGGCCAGAGTTTCTGATTCAGTAGACCTGAGAACACAGTGGTTCTCAAAGTAAACCAGCATGAGCAACACTTGGAAACTTACAGAAATGAAAATTCTCAGATCCCACCACAGATATATTGAATCAGGGACTATGTGGTGGTGCCCAGCAATCTGTGCTTTAACAGGTCCTTTCAGTGATTCTGATGCATACTCAAGTTTGAGAACCAATGGAGTACTGGATCCTGTAGAGAAGCAATGATATCTTCTGTTATAACAGCACACATTATAGTGACTGCAGTATGAAAGTTTTTTGTTTCAATGTTAACCGATATTCTAACATAACAAGATGCTCAGATTGGCATCATGAAGGAATTCCTTAATCTTTCACCATTATTACTGTCCATGGCCATTACCATTTTTTACACAAGACCTTCCTTGTCATTAGAGTAGATTAAGTCAACGTAGTCATGTTTTACATGTGTTATAATCGACAAAGACAGATCAGATAAGATGGTCATATTTCTGGAGATAGTCTGAGTCAATATAAGCTGAAGGACTTAAATGATAAAACAGTCATACAGTCTCAATGAACAACTAGGATAATAATGTTAATAATGATAATACAGCCTCACAAACCAATCCTACAATAAAAATATTGATTTTCACTGCCATTTAGCAATAAAATTATTGGGAAAAGTAGCTAAAAGAACATCTGTTGGCATGTTGCAAATGCAGTGGTCAAAACATGAATGTCCCTGTGGAGTTAAGTGATGATTTTTCTCACACTAGCTGATGGGACACAGTGGTCCCAGCTAGAGGGGAAAACAAAAAGCAGGGAAATTAAGACATTGTCAGATAAATAAAAACTCAGGGATTTTATCAATAGTAGACCTGCCCTACAGGAAAAGCTAAAGGGAGTCATTCAGGCTGAAATGAAAACACATTAGAGAGTAACTCAAATCTACATTAAAAAAAAAACAAAAATCATAAAGGTAACTAACCAGGTAAATACAAAATCAGTATTAATGTATTTTTCAGTAATATCTCTTTTTTCCTCCTGCATAATTTAAAAAACTACCGAAAACAATTATTATAAACATATGCTGATGAGCACACAATGCATAATGATGTAATTTGTGACACTAACAGTATGGAGAGAGGGATGGAATTATACAACAGCAAGTTTTAGTAAACTATTAAAACTCAGTTGGTATTAATTCAGACCAGATCATTATAAATTATGATGTTGTACCACATTTTTATGCAAATAATGCACGTTATATG